ATGAATTTATTTTTCGATTCCTTGTAAAATTCTAAGCATAATTCATTTAACAAACCTACGGTTGAATTTAGGTATATGGTATGTTATATGAAATATGCTTAGAATTTTACAAGGAATGTATATTGATCAATTTTTCAATTTTCTTTATACGTGTTTATTGGATTTTTTTGTTAAATTATCAATATTTGTGTGCCAAAAAACTATTCTAACTTAATTTAAACAATGTAGTGATAAGTTTTTATTTTTTTTAAGGGGTATTTAAATAATATAATCAAACCCAGTTTTATCAAAAACCAAAAAAAATATTGACAAGAAATGGCAAGAAATTCAACTCAGAATTATTATTTTAATAAAACATACAATCTAGAAAAATATTTTTTTAACATAGATTTTAAATCTTGGCTCAAAAATGAATTTTAATACGACTTTTTCTTTATATGATGCACTTTCTTCCCAACATAGTCACCCATCATTGTCGCATCCCACCTTCCTTGTTATCACTTTTCCATTGCCCAAATATCTTGATGAAATCTTTCTTCATGTTCTTCACTGACATCTTCCAGATTTTCACGGAAAAAGTCAAGATGCGAATGCAAATAGTGTAGGTACTTTCAACGACATACGGCATCCCATTTCCTTAAAACTTCCTAATAGAACTTTGACAAGATCAGTATAATTTTCTCTTTTGTGGTTACCAAGGAAACCTTTCAATTAAAATCTCACGTTAACTTTTGAGTTTAAAAAATATATATTATAATCCAATTTTTGTTAAAAAAAATATTCATTTTTTTTTACATGTTGTCTACAAAAAAAGTTTAATGGCCAAATTCTTAAGTGAGGGATAGTGGGGGGGTCTACCACATCTCACCAAATCTCACCAAGGGGGAGGGAGGGGTCTAAATTATCAGAAAAATGCCTCACGTAATTAATGGATGCCCCCTAATGGCACTCAAAGCCATCAACACGATATGATGGCTGTCGTTGAAAATTTGACAGTTTGAAAAAACAAATGTATGTTACGTAATCGGGGGCATGGCCTACTACGATTTCTGTAATAAAATCCAGATAAACAAATATCATGTTACATAGTGTTATTTATTCACATATTCGGATATTTGTCAAATACACAAATATTCCAATGTGTAGCGCCGGCTTAAGATTTTTAATAATATTTTAGGTGTTCAGTTTTTTGATCAGCCTATTTTGTATATGTTTGCGATAAACTCTGTAGATTCTTGGATTTTAAAGAGCATATTTAAAATGTACCTACTTTATTGCAAATAAACAAAAAAATAGAGAAATGTTAACGTTTTTAACATAAAATCTTTTTTATTAAATTTTGAAATTAATTTGGTGGTTAAACATAAGAATGGATGTATCTTTTAAAAAGACTGAATAAAATTAAATTATAATTTATATTTAAATAAAACGAGTCTTGTCTTGTCGGCTACGTGTGTTACACCTGTGCTTTTGTAATCCCCTAATAATAAAAAACGTTCTTAACATATTTACTGACTCCCACGCTCTGAGATATGCCTCCTAAGCTTTTTTTCAAAAACCTGTCATAATTAAATTACTTTAACAATAGAACAATAGAAGCCAGGACCATTGTTGACAATAGAAAACATTACTCACACGTCCTGATATATGCGTGGCTTTTGTCAAAATTTAATACCTGTCATATCTAAATCACTTTAACAATAGAACAATAGAAACACCATTGTTATTTTTTTATGGAAACTATAGAGCCTTTGTCTCTCAATATTCCTCAACAAGGGCCTTCATTTCTTCTTATGCGCATTATCTCTCGTATAATAATAATACTATTACATGAAAGTAATGGCATAAATATTATGAAATTTTTAATACATAATACTTTGAAATTTTTAATTTTTATAATTTTCGGCTGGTAAAGTGCTTTTTTAACATTTTCCTTTTTATTCATTTTACTATCTTTGTCATTAATAATATTATGCTTTTTTAAAGCCAACGCCTCGAAACCGCTTATCTGATTTTGATGAGTTTTATTTTGAACGTGAATAAAAAAACTAAATGTTAAAAAGAAAGAGTAAGAGTATGATTCCAATTGATATCCGTGTTGTTATTTGTGCACCCACAGTGAAAACTTCTTACTTTTGAGCCCTGTATATGAATAAAGAATTTCACATAATTTCTAATATTTAAAATTATAATTATTAAGAATTAAAAAAAGGCATGTATTAGGCTTTTTATAATCTTCTAAAGAAAATTGACCTATTTATTCTATATGAATTTTAAATATTTAAAAAACCTGAAAGTGTTTCTAAGATACCTTTTATAACATTTTTATATTTTCCTATACAAAAGGACATTTTATATTCATAAACCGAGCACATTACTCCAAATTTACCTTTGAAATAAATTTTCAGAGATAATTAACCAAAATTTGATACAAAATAAATTTCCAGGGTTTTGAAAGCTAACAATATAGTCTAATAATGGTTTATTTAATATTAATTTAAACCGAACGACCCAGTTTAAACATTCAATTATTGTCAATGCCTGTTTTGGTTATTTAGGTTATTAAATTTACTTGCTTATTAGTTTTGAAAATGGATTTCGATTAATAAATGTGCAATTGTCAAGCCTGTGACAAATCTATATTGGAAAGATATAATTGGTTATCGATTCAATATTAAACAATAAATTGCGGTATCCTAGGATGTGCGATGTCTTAATTAAAAATTATGGGATATCCTGCTGAAAGAAAAATTTATATTCTTTTATTAATTTAAGGCTATATGAGTACATTAGATGCACAACTCTATATTTACAGGATAAGTGATTTTAAGAAAAACATGAAAAACCGCTTATAAGATCATTTTTGAAAAAAAAATGCAAAAATTGTATAGACGTGCTTTTGCATCATTTTTATTTAAAAAAGTAAAAAAAAATCCTTTAAAATTAGGTATTTTAGTAAATAATTGTAATCAAAAGATATAAAATAGTATATTATATATCAAGTTTGATAAACGCCATTTTATACACGAACGCGAGTGCTTAAATTAATGACTGTATAGAAAAGTTTATAAACGTGGTGCATACTATACTTTTTCTACGAAAACTACTTATTATCTTAAAATGATTTAAATCAAAAATTTGTATAGATTGCCATCTATGAAACAATAGGGGAATCTGTATGTATTAACTCAGATTATAAAGGTTATAAATCAAAATGTATTTCTTGAATATTGTCAGTTTTTCACAGTGAAAGTAAAGAAAATGTTTTATGAGGACTTTACAGTGGAGTCCGTGCCCGAATTTAAGTTATAGTTTACTGCCGGCGAAATTAAAAGGTCAATACAATGTTCATATAAACTTTTCAAATATTGGCGTTGAGAAACTATTTAATTCTTTTGTATTTTTTATTGAGATAGTAAAATAATTTTCACATTTAGTATTATTTTACAAGAAAGGCACTTTATTTTAACGATTGTATGACATTTAAACTGTCAACTTACTTAAAACTAACTTCAACCCGTGACTAAAGTGCCATAAAGCCACAACTTGTAAATGTGTATTTAAAAGGTCACTTAGGGTCATGGAAACATGTACGATAAAGGGCGTTTTAAAGGTGGGAGTATAAAAACATAGTTTTGCATCTTCCTCGTTCAAAGACCAAGTTTTGCAAGTGAAAAGTGCAAATACCAAAAAATAACAATTAATCAGGTTATTTTATGTTGCCACGTAATGCGTATACTAGCGACGTGATTGGTCAACAGCAAATACCGAGTTTTGCATCTGCGTTAAGTTTATAAATGTATTTTATTCTACAAATACTAACTTATACAATGTCATCTGGTTTACTTAGGTATGCTGTTGGCGGTATCCGGAAAATTTATCGCCAGCAAATTGCCGTTAGCAATTTACCGCCAGGTATTTACCGCCAACAGTTTACCGCCTCAACTGTTTATCGCCGCAACAATTTACCGCCAGCTATTTATCGTAGAAACAATTTATCGACAGAAATTCACCGTTAGCAATTTGCCGCCAGGTATTTACCGCCTCAACAGTTTAACGCAGCAACAGTTTACCGCCAGTTAGTTTGTAAACTAACCAACTAATCCTCTCATTTTTGCCCATTTTAGTTGGGTTTTTTGCTCAATGGGGCGGAGGGGGCCCAATGGGGCGGGGTCGGTTGGGTTGTGTTGTTGAGTTTGGGTTGGTTTGGGTTTTTTTCTCTCATTTTTGACCATTTGACCAATGGGGCAAGGGGGGGCCCATGGGGCGGGGTCGGTAGGGTTGTGTTGTTGAGTTTTCTAACAAGGAAGCGTTAAAATTTTGCCTAATATTCATTTTAAAAACGTTAAAATGCACAAAACAAATCCGGTTAGCTGGCGGTAAACTGTTGCTGCGTTAAACTGTTGAGGCGGTAAATACCTGGCGGTAAATTGCTAACGGTGAATTTCTGTCGATAAATTGCTTCTACGATAAATAGCTGGCGGTAAACTGTTGCGGCGATAAATTGGTGCGGCTATAAGTTGCTGGCGGTAAATTGTTGTCGGTAAATTGTTGACGATAAATTTTCCCAGACCCGCTGTTGGCAGTGCATTAAAGTATATAAATAGGATAAAATATATATTTTTAAAAATTTGCAAAAACCGAGTTTTGCATCTGATGTACTCATACTGGAGATACTGGAGAAAATGTGCATTTTTATAATAGAGTTTTATAGACAATTTTATATCTCACAAAAAAAGATTTATTTTTGAACGCCTTGTACAAAATATCCCTAACAAACAAACAAAAATTGTTTGTAGAAATTCGTTGAAGGATTTATATATTTTTAAAATTATATACACCGTAATATGTAATTTTAATTTAAATAAACTTGATATGTTGCATATTGACGCTTATTTTTTCCACAACTTTAAATCTGTCTTGCTCACACAAGCACATCAAAGGAATATCTTAAAAGAAAACATCAAGATTGTTAATTTAAATATTGAAAATGTTTTCAGATCCCGAAAATATAGAGGCATCAGATCTTCAAAGAAAATTAGAAATGCTGAACAACATTATGGATCAAGAGGCAAGGGCGGAACAGGCGAGGCGACAGATGCAATACTTTGGGCATTGTAAGTGTTTTTAGTTTGACTTTTTATTCATTTTGCCGTCCTGATGTATGTGCATTAGGGTGTCCGTTATTTACGAACTTATATTTTTGTTCGCAGCGCCCCCTAAATTTTTAGTTTATGACCTAAAAAAATAAAAAAAAAATATTTATATTAAACCGGGCCACAAAGATGATATATTTTCCATTAAATAACTTGGGATTACGGCAAGTTTTACATTTAATTTTTTTCTCCCGAGCAAGTTAATATACAGCTATAAAAGATACATATTTTTAAAGGAAATTGAACGATGTACAAAAAAGCTTTCCTATGATTTTTTCATAAATTTACTGATTTAAAAGTTATTTAAGGTTAAAGATAAACTTGCCGTAATTTTTTTACTTTGACTGCAAAATTATTTTATTTTGTCGTAAAAATAATTGTTAAAATAATTTCTACGTCATTAGCTGTACTGAAGGAAAACTTTTTATTGTATAATATTTTATAAAATCGTATAAAATTTTGTAGAATTTCACAAAAATATAAAGATTATGTAAAAAAGTAATCGTATTAAAATTAAATAAAACTAGTACCAGATTCGTTTATTGTAATAAAAAAATCTCTTGTTAATAATTTTCACTAATCTCTTTTCAATTTTTTTTCAATAGAACAATAAAATCACATAATTTCAAAAAAAAAAATTTCATTTTCATAAAAATAATGATAACTTTGCAGTCAAAGTAAAAAAATCGAAAAAATACTATAGTATGAACATATATGTTCAATTTTATCAATCAATCAATTTTATCCTTAAATATATATATATATATATATATATATATATATATATATATATATATGTTCAATTTTATCCTTAAATAACTTTTATCTATTTTGGTTTCATAATGACTTCATTATAACACCGCTTTTGGTTCTTTAATGAGGTACTTTATTCCACCCAAAATTTTGATTTTATAGGTTGGCTACTGGTAAAATACAATTTTGAATACCTATAGGTTATAATATTTTTATGATTTGTTTTCTAGTACTTACGAGACTTTTCGTGCAATAAATTTTGTTTAACACCAAAGAAAATCCTTTTTTTTCTTTAACAGCCGCTTATTGTAAATACTTATTGTAAATTAACGACGCCATAGCGAAAGAATGTGATAATGTTTGAAAGGTTAATGACCTTTCAAACTTCAAAATGTGATACCAACTATGTAAAGTAAAATTCCACCAAATTAAATATAAGGTATAAAATTAATTTGTTTTATGAAATGTTTGCAAAATAGATAAAATAGCATAAAGAACTCATGTCATAAGACCTTTTGTCGCACTTGTCCATTATAAAACTCGCTCCTTCGTCGCTCGTTTTATAAATTGTCCGCGTGCGACAAAATGACGTCTTATGACATTAGTTCTTTAATATACTATTAAACCACTGAATTTGTTTATCAAAAAATAATGAGAGCTTTTTTGTACAGCGTTCATTTTCATATAAAAATATGTATTTTTCATAAACTAAAAATTTAGGGGGCGCTGCGAACAAAAAAAACAAGTTGGTAAATACACGGCATAATTGTTTATAATTAATTTTATGCGCAAAGTTAAAAAATATCCAATAATTGGTTATTTTTTATGACAACTTTACATTTATATAATACAATTCTTATGTTGCTGATTAATACAAAAAGGTCTTATTTTAAATTCAATTAGGCAGGTTACTTTCGTCAAAAGAAACCATAAAAATGTACTGCATTCGTTAAACGTAAGGCGATGTACACCTAGGAGACAATTCATGTCACAGACCATTCATGTTATTTTATAGGATTTAGGGTACGTTCCACGAAATATTGCAAAAACAAGTAGTAAGTGGTAGGGAAAAAATCTAGACATCCTTGTCTCACTTTATCTCTTTACGAATATATGTAGTGGAACGAAATCTAGAGGCGAATTATGGTTTTATTTTAATGAATGAATTATAAATAATTATTTATCATTAAGAATGTTAAGCATATTTTTTAATCTCTTTATTGAAATATATATATATATATATATATAGGGGTTCATTTAAATGAATTATTTATCATTAAGAATGTTAAGCATATTTTTTAATCTCTTTAGAAGAGTCTTAAATTATAAATATGATTTAAATCTTTTTATATTTTGTATCGAACTTCTATAACATTAGGAAGTGTATTCGAATAAATACCAAATTTTTAAAGAACACAAAATCATTAATAATAAATAAATTATTCCAATAAACATGCATACAATATATAAAATAAAATTAAATTAGGAATAAAGCTTGTATCGAACAATTTAGCACAATTATTACTGCTATATAAAAGTACATTATAAAACAGGCAATCAATATGCTTTCGCCGTCGGGTTTTATACAGGGTGTCCGGAAATAAAGTAAATATATTTCTGGGCGTAATTCTACACTTAAAAATAAAAGAAAAAGCATTTAATTAGAATATTTCTTTAAGATTTTGAAACATCATTTTTGGTTTAGGTTCAACTTACATAATAGCTTCTTTTATAGTTCTTTTATAGTTATTTAACTTTTGAACTGGTATTAATTAAAGTCTTTCTATATAGGCTTATGAGTTATATGAAAATTATTACCTATACTCTTAAATAGTATATTATGTATCAAGTTTTATAAACACCATTTTAGTTACGAGTTTTATTAAGCACGAGCGAAGCTTGCAAGCAAGTGTTTAATAAAAACGAGTGTCTAGATAAGTTTATAAAACGAGTTATTTATAGTTACTTTATCTACGACGACCACAAAGAAGAATTTAAATCCAATTCTATTTGTTAAACATTTGACATCTGTCAAATGTCAACGGAATTAACCTCACTTTTCTCTAATTTATAATAAAGCTAACTTCAGCCCGTGACTAAAATGCCCAAAAGCCACTATTACTAACTTCAGCCCATGACTAAAACGCCATAAAGTCACAGCTTGTCAATGTAGGAGTAGATAAAATACTTTTTTATCTAAATATACTAAAACACTTAATTTTTCTCGAATGTAAAATTAAATTTTTGACCACTTATAATTATTATTTTATAACCAATAATTTTTGTAATTTAACTTGTTTATATAAAAAATAAAGAGGTGATTTTAACCAAACTCTTAATATTTCGGCATTATTATAATTACCTATCTAAGGTATTTATATGTTAAAAACGATTTTGGTTATAATTTCATTTATTTTTCGTTTTTTGAAATTTTATTTTAAATTAATTAATTAAATTACTTTAAAATTTGTAAAAAATACTGAATTTAATCATAAAAAAAGTTCCACCAAAATTCTAAAAACTAATATTTCACAAATTTTTAAATAACATTAGGTATACCAGTTTTTGGTGTATTTTAATAGTATATTATCATAATATTATTATGTATCAAGTTTTAGAAACGCCATTTTAGTTATGCGCAAAGCTTGCAGCGAGCGTTTAATAACTGTCATCCGAATTTAACATCACTTTTTTCAAATTTATAATAAAGCTAACTTCAGCCCGTGAAACGCCATAAAGTCACAGCTCGTCAATGTAGTAGTAGATAATGGTGTGTTCTGTAAGTTTGGAATATGGCATAATCCGCTCGAGTGAAAAGTTTGTCACACGAGAAGAAGGCGAGTTTGGCGGTTTTACAAGAGCAAAATATGCAATATGTTTCAGATTATACTTTTTCTACGTTTTTAAAAAATACCATAGAAAAATAATTTAATTGGAAGAAAGTGAGGTTGGATCGGTCTATAATATGTTAGATAATAAAAACAGAGATGTCGCCACGAGTGTTTATTCTGTCATCCGATGATAGAATATTTCATTCTCTAACACTTTATGGAATATGTATTTCCACATTAAAAAGTTATATTGGAACGGTCATATTCCGTTATAGAAGTAGAAAGAAAACATTAAAACAAAAAAAATTGAAAAATAATATGTATTGATAATTATGATTATTATAAATATGTTTAAAAATATTATATTATAATAAAAGCACTAAAATTAAAATATTACATGAAAACTCAACTTAGCACCTGTAGATCAAAAAGTTGACTAAAACTAAACTTTGAATGGGTCATAAAACGCGCTTGTAGCGCAGCGCTTCATCCATTTAGTCAGTTGTTGTGACGAAAATTACCCTTGAAAATATTTTCGACGCATAAATCAGACCGTACTTGGCATCAACTGACCCGAACAATTTCCTTTAACCGTTTTGTACTTGAAACGGTGTCTCGGTCGAAGCAGCGACGAAACAGATCGTCGGAAAATCCGGCCAAACCCGACGCCACAGATAATTTTCGCAGCCCACGCGAAAGTCGCCTAATTTATGTCCGGCAACGAGACGGCATAAATTATGCACGGGTTACGCGAAGGCTCCGGCGCGGGTAACTCTCTATCTCATTGCACAGTTTTTACTTAATAGTTTGTTTAGCAGGACAAAGGTTAAATGTCATTAATTTTTGAAGTGAAACTTCTTTGGTGGCGTTTTTTGATATTTGACGAGAATGGAGAGTGAATTGGAAAAAATGTAACGTTCCGAGATTTCGTTACACGAGAGAAAAAAAGATATAACGTAGAGAGAAGGAGAAAGAGAGCTATACGAGTGAACCCGAGTGAATCCGATCGCCCCTCCCCAGATGCATTTTAAGCAGATTGCCGGCGTAGTCGAGGATTCAGTTTTGTTTTGCATTTGCTAGTGTGTATTACAAGCGTTTTAACATAAACTAATTTTTTTTATTTAAAATTATAAGTTATAATGTCCTACACATTGCAAGGGAAAATTGACATAATAAGCTGGTTATCAAAAGGTTTAAAACAATAGTTCCCATTTCGAGGCGAAAAAAGTAATTTTAGCGACAACCGTACTTCGAGGATCACACTGCAATAAATGTGTAAAATAAGAGTAATAAAGGACAAAAGATCATTTTAATTGTTAAAAACAATAAACATAAACAATAAAAATTCATTATAATGAATGTTATAATGTTATAATA